CAAAAAGAAAGAAGCAACAAATAACAACAAGCAAAGATGAAGAAGACACTAAAGACAGAGGAGGAAATATATTTCCATTAGTGTTCAAAATACAAAAGGGGGCACTACGGCCATTACATATTATGAACAAAAAAAGAGAGAAGGGGATTAGGCTTCTCCCTCACCGGCATCAGGGATAGGCGTGCCGACACCATCATTGGTCTGGGAGGAAACGGTATCCACAAATATGTCGTCATCTCCCCAATCTTCCTCGCCAATTTCAGAACTCAGAATGGGGGACTGCCTGTCCTCCGCAGGAAGCTTGGCCTCGGCCTCTGGGTCCTTCATCTTCGGTGGCAACTTCAGCTTGGAGGCAAACTTCTTTGTCAGCTTTAGTTCTGTGAAGCACCGATGAAGCCTCTGGTAGATCAGTCGTTGCATCCGTTGTTGGCCCATGTCGTAGTATACCGACATCTCCCTCTCAAAGTACTCCTGGCCGGCAGGAGAGTTCACGCCCCAATCTTCGAGCCTGGCCGCCACAAGCTCATAGCACCAAGGCCGATGCTCCTCAGCCTTCCAGCCTTCGTCTAGGAACTTATCAATGGCAACATCGGTGGCCCTCTCAGCTGCCTTCTCAGCCTCAGCTCTGGTCTTCTCGGCCTCCTCAGCACGACACAGGGCTTCTTCACGTCCCTTCAGCGCCTCATCTTTTTCATTCAGGGCATCATACGTATCGGCCGCCACTTGGCGATAGGCCGCATCGGCCTCATCGACCCTCTTCTTCATGGCCTCCACCTCCTCCCGGAGCCGGTCCAAGCAGCTCATGGCCTCCTCGGTCGAGGCAGCCTTTTTCTCGACTTCTTTCAGTCGAGCAATCTCTTGTTGCTGCCTCTTGTGGCTCTCCATCAGCATGAAGGCCCCCTGCAAAAATGAAAGGGTTAGGACGATGCAAACACTCACGACGACAAAAAAGCAAAAGAAGGAAATAACAAAGTGCAAGAAATTTACTTGGACTACGAGGTCCATACCACTGTCGTAAATTCTGATAGGGCCAAGATTCTTAAGGTATGCCCGGTCTTCGATGGGGACAGCTTGTGACAGCTCATCATGGTCGTCGATAACATCATTAAAGACGCCTCCCTTGACGGGGTACTCAACCTCCAGTTTGTAGGTCCCCGTCGCTAGTTCCTTCCCGCCCCTTTTCTTCCGGGAGTCCTGGCCAATAGGGGGAGGCTGAGAGGCAGCAGTGGAAGAAGGTTGGGAAGCCAAATCCACCAAGGCAGCAGCACCGGAGCCCTCAACGTCTCCGGCTGGTACAGTTAATCAGTCATGGCCCCGACATCAGCATCGGCCGGGGGAGAAGCTTTCTTGGACTTCTTGGGAGGCTGCATGCTGGCCTAAGTCAGCTTCTTTTGGCCATCATCGGCCTGTCGCTTCTTCTTAGGGTGAGTGGGCGGCTTCGACGGCTGTGCAGTGCTCGGCTGCCCTCTAGTCTCTCGCGGCCTGTTCGGCCAACACCTTAGCCTTGGCCGTGTTCATAACAGATCAGCGATCCATGACAAAGTCTGCACAGAAAGAAAACACATTAGCAAAGTGCATAAAACAAAATGGGATCAAGTGCTTTGGGAAGGCATTACCATCGGCTTCGCTGACACTCCCAAATCCGGCCCATCGGCCTCCTCGAAGGTGGTAGTCATCTTCGGCCAAATGGCGACATCGCCCTCCGCATCCCCGTACACAAAGTACCTCAAAAAGCCGATGACAGCCATCTTATACTCTGTGATGTAGTGTTTCACGCTCCTCAGCCCTCCTCCCAAGAAAGCCGCCACCTGAGCGTCCAAGATGGAACTCTTCGGCGCGTCATGGAGGTTAAACCTACCACTGTGGCCAACAGAAGGAAACTCGGTTCCACCCTCGCCCAAAGACACGAAGACGAACTTGCTTTTCCATCCATGGATGGACGTCGGCAGATCAGAGAAGGACCTCCTGTTCTCCACCTGCTGCAAATTGGCATAGCCGGCACAGTTCTGGTGGCTCCCCCGACCTATCTGATATAGGTTCATGAAAAGGGCCATTGTCGGTTTGAAGCCCAACTCGTCACAGCGGAGGAGGAAGCTGATAATCAACGAGTAGCTATTCGGAGTCAGCAGGGCCGGAGGAAGTTCCACCATGTCCAAGTACTCCGTAATGAACGGATGGAGGAGAAACCTAAGCCCCTTGGCAAAGCTCATGGGGTATACTCCGAAGTACCCCGGGGGTGGATTCAGTACGTGGTCCGTCAGCTTGGCGGCCCTAACCCTGCCAAACAGCCCCACATACATCTGAGCAACCAAGTACTCGGCCGCGTAGCTCTGCGGCCTGATGACACGGACGTTAGCGAGATCCAAGAAGGAGAAAGCAGGTCCTTTCTTTGGTCAGCGCCTTCTCTTCGGCGCAGTCCCTTTAACTGCAGACACCGGTTTGGGGCAAGGAATAGCAGCCGGCGTGGACGCCCCGTCCACGGCACGAGAGAATCCTACGTCCTCACCTTCAGACGACGAGGCGGCCTCCTCATCCTGGTTCTCCTCAACCTCTTGCTCCCCTGACTCGAAGGAGCTCAAATCTTCTATCTCCTCGCAACACTCCTCAACCACTCGGTAATCAAGGGACTTGGCGAAGGCCTCGTCGTCATACGGGTAGTATTCATCGTCCAAAGTCTTCATCTTAACAGCTAAAGAAACCCTAAAGGGAGCTACTTTGGATCTAAGGCTGATTTTTCACTAACACTAGATCAAGGTCCTAGGGAAGCAAAATATGCAAGAAATCGGAGAAGGGTTTGATGAACTGACCTTTGAAGTATTGAAGAAACAAAAGAACACCGGCGAGCACTTTATCTCTCTAGAAATTTGGGCAGCACTTCGTTCTCTGAGAATGCAATAGGGAGTTTCTTCGGATGGAGGGGGTATTTATAGACCTCCCCCCAACGGTCACTACACGTGGCACTCCCCCATTGGCCACATGAACGGCCACCACTCCCAAGGCCCATTGGGCTGCCACCGGTTTAGAAAATGGGTCAGGCTCACTTCCATCAGTGCCAGTCCACAAATGTGCCAGTAATCAGCGTCCATAGCGGCCAACCATTCAATGGTCACACCAAGAACTATCTGCCTCCACAGGGCACTATACATCGGCCTTGATAGCCAATAATCATCTCAACTGCTGGTCACACCACAAAGTGTGCCCATATCGGCTTAACACATTACCAACAACAGGGCCCCTTCAACGGCCATAACAGCAAAACAAAAAACAACTCAACGGCCATTGGCCTTGTATAAAACCATGATGATAACTTCTTGAAAGTGACCTGCGTCCAAGGGTTCTCCCACAGGGTTACCTTGGTCAGGAATCGCCAAGGGGTTGGATTCAGGGGAATACAAGGATCCCGCTTCGGCTTAGGGTTACACCTGACTCCTTCACCCCTCGCTTACTCTTCAGCCTGAAGCAGTGGGGGACTAGGGGACTACACCGGCCTCTGGAATGCAAGAGAGGACAAAATCAAAGAAATCCAAAAATATACCAAGTCCACAACTACAACATTAGATCATATATGCACCATGACGTCCATGATCTTGTGGTGCACCCTCGGCCGCAACAAAACTAGCAAACAAAGAAGTAAATTCCTCCCAAAATGTGACGCGTATCATCCCTTGACACGCACCACTCAACGGCTTCAAGATCACACACTCCACCCTCGGCCAAGAAACAAAAACAGGAACCCAACGTCCTCGGGTCACCATCGTCCATAAGATCAGAGTGCAGACAACTTTTTCTGGAACAACGCTGCTATCGTCCTCAATGATGGACACCAAGCTATGGATACCACCGCTTCAGCCTTAAGCACGAAAACAATCATGAGGCCTCCTTGGCCAAATCACTAAAGGCAACAGCCAATGACTAGAAAGAACAGGACCCGCATCGGCTATTCAAATCAAGAGCACATACCGGCCACTGAAGAGGCATGACACTCATCGTCCTCAAACAAGCAAACTCACCCCGTCAGAAGGACATCAGCCTTCTTCGTCCACAGTGAAGAGCATACAAAGGCCAAAACAAAAGAACCAAAACAGGAAATGGCCACAACGGCCAGAAGACATCAAGACTGGAATTTACTCTCCCTCACTTCATCTACATCTCAGCTCAGAGAGTGGGGGACTCCTGATGTAGTATATGGGCCTGGACCCCAGGACCCACATACTTAGAAGAATGAGAGGCACAACTGTCACTCAGTGGGGCCTCCGTCGGCCAGATGGCCCTCCATCGGCCAGAAAGATATCAACTCAGAACATGGTCCAGAAGATATCAACTTCGTCGGCCGGGGCTCCGTCGGCCATGGCTCCGTCGGCCACAAAGGGCTCCCAGAACCGGACTTCACACTTAATTATTTCTACATATTTTGTACTCAGCCCAATAGTGACCCAATTGTAAATGGGCCCCCAAGCCCAAGACTTGGGAGCTAGTCCTAATTTCCTCTATAAATACTCCCTTTGAGGGTAGTTGTAGAGGGTTCACAAATCATTAATATCACCATTTATAGCACTTCTCTCTCTAGCTCTCACTTCTCTCTAACAATATATACTCTATCAAATATAATTTCAATCACATTTTCATTTTGTGATCATGGTTATGTTTTATGAAAGTAATATTATTATACGAAAAATTACTTTTCTTAAACTCAATTGTAAATTTTAATTTGAAAAAATTCCACTTTTGGTCCCGTGACTATTATACCGCTTCCACATCTAGTCCCTTACTTTCAGATTGTTCACATTTAGTCCGTGACCATTATCCCCTCACCACCCCTCGTCCTTCCGGCCAAAATTCCGGCAAATTTAATGCAGATTTTAGGTATGAAAAACCAAATTTAATGCAAAAACTAATATGAAAAATCCAACCTTATATAAAATTTAATGCAAAGACTGATTCTAAGGTCGATAAGTGAACTAAATTTGTCGGAATTTTGACTAGGACGAGGGATGGTGAGAGGATAATGTTCATAACCAAAAACCAAAGAGGTAAAAAAGAAAAGAGGATTGCCCCCCACTCAAGGCAGTTCATAATAAAACCCTCAACCAGATCGCTGCCCTTTCTAAATAGGGCTTCACACGTTAAAGCTCAATCACTTACCTTGGAATTGAATTCGTAGCGAAGAATCCACCATGGTGAGAGTTTCCGTCATTCGCCTTCCTTGTGCATTTATAGTTGTAATGTGTTTTTGGATCTTGAATTTCTGGAATGGAATGCTTCCTGTTCCAGGACGGAGACGGGAAATTGGAGTCGCAGATAGAGGCGCTGCTGAATGTGGAGAAGCAGATGAGGCAGGTCGGCGATGTGGCTGGAACTCGAAAGGCTGTGTCCGAAATACTGCAACTCTGCTTTGAGGCGCGCGCCTGGAAAACTATGAATGATCAGATTCTTCTTTTATCCAAGCGTCGGGGTCAACTTAAGCAGGTCAATTTGGGTTTTCTGATTAGAAATGTGTAAACTATGCGGTCATTTTAGTTTGGACCCTGAACTTAAAGTAGTTGTTCTTACATTTCGCTTTAGATTCTTGGTGGTCTAATGCTTGGTGTTTGAGTTTTTACCTCATGCTTGCTGAGTTTACCATTTAGGAATGTACTCTGTCTTCATGCTTTGTAGATTTATGCTGGAAGCCTTCAGCTGATCTTGTGTTTGCTGCTAGAGAAATATAGTTTTATAAAAACATTCAGCACATACACACGCAGTCTATGTGATAGTTCATAGGAAGTATTTGGTTTGAAAAAATAGAGTGCATGCACTACATTGACAAGGAAACAGTTACACCTTGCTTGTCAAATGTCCAGTTTCAGTTGCTGTATATATTTTTCTTTTTACTGAGCTGTTTTGTGTGTTAGAGGATAGGCTAGTGTGAATTTTTTAACATCATGTGAAACCATAATGTTCTATAATACACACACACACACACACACACACACACACACACACACACACACACACACACATATATATATATATATATATATATATATATTTATATATATATATAGTGGGGGTTACTATTCTCATCATGCTGGCCTAACGAGATGGACACCTTCATTTTTTTAGCCAAAAAATGATTTCAAAAATTCAATTTGTTTTACTTATTAGTATTAACTATTAGTTTCAACGATTAGATCTTAAATTTAGTCGAAGTTAGACCGTATAAACTCACATTTTCACTTCTAATAATTATCTACCAGTTAAGATTAATGTATCATAAAATGGAATTAAGCTCATTTTTTATGATCTAATGGTTGATACGAATGTGCAAAAAAATTAGATCATTTACTCCATTTTGGCCAAAAATGAACTTGGCTTGCTTGACTGGATTTCCGCCAGGCCAGCTTATTGAGATTAGCCCTCTCTATGTACATACATACGTATATATGGGGCAGGGTTCTAGTGAGAACCCTTACTAAAATGAGAACTCCTTATAAAGAGAACTTTTAATCTCAACTTTTTATTTTATTCAATCATTGGTCGGGATACACATAATGTCTTTTTGTAATTATTCAAAATTTAAACAAGGTCTCTTTTGTAATTATTGTAAATGAATTAAATAATGCAACCTTATTGATTATAGCCATTGTTTTAAAATTTGAGCGGTAGAGAATAAAAGCTCTGGTTTATAATTTTTACTCATTTTCAAGGGGTTCTCACTAGAACCCTCCCTCAAATATATGTGTGTGTGTCTATATATATATACACACACACACACACACACACACACACACGGAGTATATGCTTTTCTGTGTCTGTACCTACTCACGTCCGTGCATCGTAGTATGTAATTTTGGTCTTCTTTGTTAAACTATTCTTCTCATTAAACCAATTGTTTACCAAGTAACATGATTCTTATTATTGTCACTTTGGGAACTTCACAGGCTGTACAAGCCATGGTTCAACAAGCAATGGAGTATATTGATCAGACTCCAGATGTTGTTACTAAGATAGAACTCATAAAAACACTTAACAGTGTGTCTGCTGGGAAGGTTAACACTCTTCTATGACATTCTTATGAAGACTGTTTCCGTTATTCCTTTTCACCGTGATATCGTACCAAGGACATTTATGCTTGTATTACTTCAACACAGATATATGTTGAGATAGAACGGGCTCGATTGATTAAGAAACTTGCAAAGTTAAAAGAAGAGCAGGGCCTCATTGCTGAGGCTGCAGATTTGATGCAAGAAATTGCGGTAACTTTATAAATAATAATTAATCAGTTTTTAAACTATTTTACTTGAGCAGAAGCATAATCATACTCTTGATATTTCATGGAAACCTGCTTTCAATCTGTGATTTACAGGTTGAAACATTTGGTGCAATGGCAAAAACTGAAAAAATAGCATTCATTCTTGAGCAGGTTAGTGACCTTCTTCATTACTTTGTTGCCTGTAACATATTTTGTACAGATAAAGTTCTGTAAATGCGTTTTAAATGCATATGTTTGAATATATAGGTTCGTCTTTGTTTAGACCGCCAAGATTATGTACGTGCTCAAATTCTCTCGCGAAAAATCAACCCTAAAGTTTTTGAGGCTGATACATCAAAAGAGAAGAAAAAACCTAAAGAAGGTGAAGCTGTAGTGGAAGAAGCGCCTGCAGATATTCCATCACTGTTGGAGTTGAAGAGGATTTACTATGAATTGATGATTCGGTATTTGGATTTTTTATTATCCTTGTTTCTTCTTTTGCCTTTTCTTGATCTATCATTTATGGTGCTCTCCAATTTTTTGTCCATTAGATCATTATACCTCAGTTCTAAGCTGTCTATATCTTTTGCTGATCATACTGTATGGGAGTCGAACGATTTTTACCCTCTTTATGCTATCTATCTTGTCAACTACTGTGCACAAGATTTATATTTGCTGAAGAATTTTCATATCTCCATAACCTACTATTTTATTTACAAAATTAAAGTGGAAGAACTTTTTAGTTTATGGTATTGTTACTTTGGCTGTGTGTGGCCATTTTTCTTTAATTGATCTAAGCCTGATTTCAAACCTCAATAATTATAGTAGTTAATTTACAATATTGAAATGAAAGAAGTTGTTAATATTTAGCTGCATTGCTAATAGGTTTTGGTTTTAAAAGATGTGTGGGTGTTATGCCTTTGCTGCTTGAAAGCTTAAAGGTTTGGGGAAAATGCACAAGAGGCTTAAGCCTTAGTCAACAAAAATGAGGCATAAGTCTTGATGCCACAAAGCATGTGGGGCACAGTGACTTTCCTGGCTTGAGCCCTCAAAGCTTGACCCTCTTCAGATTAGTTTTTTGTTAAATATTTGTATGGCTTGTATTTAAATGTTGTTGCGCTTCAAGCCTTCAACAAGCTAATCCAACCCCTCATTCTCCTCCCCCCCAAAACACGGAAGGCTAATCCTCTTTCCTCCTCTATAAGGGCAGGTTGAGAGATGGTATTGGATGGGAGTCTACGTGTATATCTTGTGATATTATTTGAGATTTTATGAAAGCTGAAGGAATTATATAATACGATAGTATGTGATAACAAAATATTTCAAACACCCTTTATTCATTCCAGAAACATTATATTTACCAAATATATAGACTTATATTAAGCCCTTAAAATTCTTCCCTCCCAAAACCCTTAAAGCGCTCCATCCGAGTGCATAGAGTTATCCTTCCCTAGTAGCTAAGCAACACCTTGCTAGAAACCAGCATATACCCCGAGCGTTAGATAGAGATACAATGAAGAGCCTATTGGTTTTGAAGGTTAGTAGTTATAGAAACGTAGAATCCTAAGCCTAAAACATTTTCATAGTTTTTATTCTGTCCAACTTGAACCACATTATGTGTATTTTTTATTTCATGACTTATGGTTTTTATGCCATTGAACTATTAATAATATTAATATGAATTATATCTATTTTCGCCTACACGTGTAGACATGCGTTCAAGACTTACGCCTCACCTTGCACCTGGGCTTACACATAATGAGGCATCCCAACTGCTTTGGGGCCCTTCTTCGCCTTTAAAAACCTTGTTAGCCCAGAGGTGTCAATGAACCTAAATCTGACAAGAAGGCTGTTTACATGTACTGGGCTTTCTAGTTGTTAAGGCTATATGAAGGATGGTTGGTAAGATGCCAACTGTCTATACATGGGCTCAATCCACCCCACACATGCTCTTTAGAAATTTTTAGATGTACAAGTTGATTCTTTATAAATACCTTTCTTTCACTTGTTTGGACATAATTGAAGAATGATTCATCCTACCACCACCTAGTTTGCTGAAAGCTACTCCTAACTGCTGCACTCACTTTATGGTAGAAGTTATATGTTGCAATGTCTAAGTTCAGAATTCTCTAAACTATTTTCTCGCTCTTTGTTTAAATTAAAATCAAAGTTTACTTAAACTCCTCTTACCACCATCTAATTTAAAGAAAACTTGTGGGCTCCCATGTGTTCTGATTTTTAACAAAGACTCCTGCTGGTTGTGTATCTTGCTTTATTAATACTCCGTATGACATACTATAGTCCAGTTGCAAAAATCATCGTAAAATGACTCATTTGTTCGAAACACATTGCATTTATATAGTTCTCTTATGAAATTGTGTCTACTGGATAGACTGCTATGCGTTCAGAACCTGGATCAATCACCTCGGAGTCCTTTATGCTTGATCTTTAATGCAAATATATTTTCTTGATCTGATGTAGGTATTACTCACATAGCAATGATTATCTTGAGATTTGCCGGTGTTACAAGTCCATATATGAGATACCTTCTGTAAAAGAAGACCCAACAAAGTGGATACCAGTAAGTGGTCTTCTGAATTGGCACATATATCTATTTCATACGTTCTTAGAATATGGTATTTATTATTGTATGTGTATATATTAATTTATGTGAAACCCCAATATCTTTTGCACTAAGGCTTGGATGTTGTTGTTATTGTTGTTTTGATATTCATTTATGTGAAGCAATTCTTATGATGCATGCTAGAAGAAGTTGCAGTTCTATGATTTATGTTGTTCAATGCAGGTACTGAGGAAAATATGCTGGTACTTGGTTCTGTCTCCACATGACCCATTGCAATCAAGCCTTCACAACTCCACCTTAGAGGATAAGAATCTTTCAGAAATCCCTCATTTCAAGTTCGTTTTTCTTGTTTCTTCCATAAAAGTAGCACTTCTCGTATTTTAAAAGAGTCATGCCTTTTCTTAATGAGATAACACTGTACATATTAAACCTGCTTGCCTCATTTTTAGGGCACTATTGAAACAATTAATTACCATGGAGGTCATTCAGTGGACTGCTTTATGGACCACTTTTAAGGATGAATTTGAAAATGAAAAGAACATGCTTGGTGGTGCCCTGGGTGACAAGGCAGCGGAGGACCTTAGATTGAGAGTCATTGAACATGTAATTATGATTCTGGTTATTTAGCTGCCTTCTTGCATTGTTACAAAATACTGACTCTGTCCATATACTAGTTATTATAGTCCATTTTTTGCTTGTTAAATGAGATGATGGGAACACATCTCCATATTTTTACCTCGCAGAACATCCTAGTTGTCTCCAAATATTATTCAAGAATAACCTTGAACAGACTATCAAACCTGCTGTGTCTTACTATTCAGGTATGTTGTCTAATCTTTTTGTTGATTGGACTAATGATTCTCTTTGTTTTCATTCTATGGATGTAGTAATTGTCTTTATATGATTGTGGACATTTCACCCGATTAACTCTAAAGTTTTTACAAATATTTAGATCTGTTGATCTTAATTCAATAGACTTACAAATAAGATAAAACGTTTTTGAACAAATATCTAAAATTTGTCTTGAGTTTGGATCAATCTTTCAAACCTTTCTCTCCTCATTATTTTTCGTTTTCTCATGTTTTCTGCATTCCGAACTGACCCTACAGTGTTGAACTTTTTACTTATATAAATGTGCTAGAGATTTGGAGTAGGCTGAAGTTTTTTGGTCATTAGGCTAAGAGCATAAAAGAACAACGCTAAGAATTGAGACCGGTAGACATCTATTTTGTAGAAATGCTTTGTTTCTGTGCTAAAATTTTTTGTTTGTTTTTGTTTTTGTTTTGTTTTTGTTTCTGTGCTTAATTAATCTCAGTAAAAACTTATTCACGTCAAGGTGTGTAGTATTTGAGACTCCTTGTATGTGCTACCCAGTACATATGAGATGGGGAACAAAATGAGTTGTTAGTTGTTACTATTCAATACTTAGTACATACAGGCGGTCTTTACTTTTTTCTGTTTATCATGTATAAAACAGCCTGTTCACCAACTTTTACACCAAGAGTTACTATAAAAGTATTAAGGTCATAAGGTCATAAGGTGTTTTGGTTGGCGTATTTTGGGGGTCATCTTTGAGTTCTGTTAGCATTATGTGGCTTCCATTTTTTGAGATCATATAAAATTGGAGCCTTCTGGCTATCCGTGATTGTCTTTTATTTTGATTCAATCAATAAAGCTTGTAATATCCCAATGAATAATTTAATTCGGTGTGTGATTAATCAGGAAACCGAAAAGCATCTATCAGAAATGGTGGTATCAAAGGCAATGGTGGCAAAGATTGACAGGCCAATGGGCATTGTTAGTTTCCAACCAGCAAAGGACAGCAATGATATATTAAATTCATGGGCAATGAACTTGGAGAAACTCCTTGACCTCGTAGAGAAGAGTTGCCATCAGATCCACAAAGAAATGATGGTCCATAAAGCTGCTCTTAAAGCTTGAGACGACCTCCAGGTGATGTTGTGTTTACGTTATACTTCACTTCTTTATCATCCATTCAGTGTGTTGCATGTACATATATGTATGTATGCATGGTGATGGTGCAGGTTTTATCCGAAAATAAATAACAATGTTTTTCACCTTTGCACTTTACCGAACTGCCAAGGTTAATCCGTCAAAATAAAAGCATCTATTTTCAGTGATAATGAATTTTCAATATGATTCAACCGTTGATCCTACAACAACAGCAACATCCAAGCCTTAGCCCCAAAAGATATTGAGGTCGGCTAACATGAATCGATACATGATATCACCACCTAAAGGAAAAGAAAGAAAATAAAGATAAAAAAGATAAGCTATTATAAAAAGATAATATAAAAAGAGATGAATATACATAAAAAAGATAAAATAAAAAGGATACAAATAATGCTTATATATAAGGATAAAAAACAAGGAAAAAAAGATGAGGGGAAAAGATGATACGAGATCACTCCTCCACACGAATACCTGCCCTCCACTTAGCTCTCTCCAAAGTCATGCTCTCATCCAACCTCAGAAGAAGCATATCACTTCGAACTCCCCTAACCCACGTCTGTTTGGGTCTTCCTCTCCCTCTCTTCCTTGCCTCTTCTCCACACATCTCAACTCGTTTGACAGGTGCATCACTCGGTCTTCTACGCACATGACCAAACCATCGTAGGCGTGACTCCCACATCTTGTCTTCAATAGGTGCTACTCCCACCCTTTGTCTGATTGTCTCATTCCTCACACGGTCCTTCCTAGTATGCCCACACATCCAACCCAGCATGTGCATCTCTGCCACACTCATCTTTTGAATGTGACATTGTTTCACCGCCCAACACTCTACGCCATACAATAATGCAAGTCTAATTGTTGCCCTATAAAATTTACTAGGGGTGGGCATAACGGTTCAGTTTGACCGAACCGAACCGTACCAAACCGAATTAAACCGAACCGAAACCGAACCATTTGTAATTTGGTTTGAGTTTGGTAGTATTCCTCCCAACCTTTATTAAACCAAACCAAACCAAACCGAAATCATAAAACCGAATAAAATCGAATAAAACCGAACTAATCTAAAAATGATTTTTTTTAAATAACAAATCAAAACCAACTTACACCAAACCAAAATACGGAGTATAAGATTTCTCTCATTAATTTGATTGATGTTAATCTTTTTGAAGTTTTAATTCTTTAATTTTAGTGTCTAGGACTAGAGTTTACTACACGAGTTACATTCACAACTATAACAATTATAGTGGTTTAGGTAGATAGTATTTAACTATAATTTATTATCTACTACTACTATATATTTGATTCATTACTTACAAGCACCGGTTTTGTTTTTTGTTTCGGCTTTATATATAATTTGATTCATTCCTGTTGTTGTTGCTTACAAATGTGTCATGCTTATATATTTTTGGTTCATATGTGTTTTGTTACTGTTTGCAAACTTATATCTAACATCATATTTGGTTCATTACTATCGCTTCTTGGTTCATTATTTTGAGTTAATTTTTGTAATCCAAACCTTAATACTTTGGTAAATCGAACTCCAAACCGAACCGAACCATACCAAACCGAAACCAAATCGAAACTGAATCGGTTTGTATTTGGTGCATTTTCTATCAAATCGATTAAACCGAAATCGAACCGAAATCAAAGAAAACCGAACCGAAAACCGAAATGCTCACCCCTAAAATTTACCCTTCAGTCTAGTCGACATACCTCGATCGCATAGAAATCTGACGCACTCTTCCACTTCATCCACCCTGTTTTGATTCTATGGGATACATCTCCATCTAATTCACCATCCTTCTGAATTATTGAGCCCAAGTAACGGAACATAGCATTGACTGGTATCTCCTTACCATCCAGAGTAATTCCGCTATTATCACTGCTTCTACCTCCACCAAACTTGCACTCCATGTACTCTGTCTTGCTCCGACTTAGTTTGAAACCCTTATTCTAATGTTTGTAGCCATACTTCCAACTTTGCTTTAAGACCTGTTTGCGTCTCATCAATCAATACAATATCGTCGACAAACATCATGCACCACGGTATATCGTCTTGAATTGACTTTGTAAGTTCATCCATGACTATGGCAAATAAGAAAGGGCTCAGGGCCGATCCTTGGTGCACTCCGATAGTAATAGGGAACTCTTCAGTCCTCCTTACACTAGTACGGACACTTGTAGTACAATCCTCATACATATCCATGATGATGCTGATATACTTGCGTGCTAAGTAGTTTACTCGCTACTCGGTAGCAACTCGGTCAACTTGTCTTTTAGCCTCCTTGTATGCTTCTATGTTCTCATCACTCCAACTTGTCCTCAACTTTTTGTAGCAATCTCTTTTGTTCATTATGGCTTGTTTCATCTCATCATTCCACCAAGATGTGTCCTTTTTAGGTGGCAGACATCCTTTAGATTCCCCTTTGCCACTTTGTTAATGATTAACGCAATTGATAACCACACATCATCCACATGTGTTTCATTATCAATACGCCATACATCTTCACCGATCATTTTATGTGTAAAGATTTGTTGACGATCTCCCTCATGCCTCCACCACTTTATCTTTGGTTCCACTTGTTGTTTAACTTGTCTTTTATGGTTCTTACCTCGAAAGTCAAGCACAAGCATCTTATGCTCAGTGACAACACTCTCACTTGGAATAACCTTACAATCAGTGTAACTAGTTCTCCAAGTGGTCCGTACTACGAAGTAGTCAATTTGGGTACTATTAGCTCCACTTTTATAGGTTACAAGGTGAGAGTCTTTTTTCATAAACCAAGTGTTCATTATAGTCAACTCATATGTCAAGGCCAAATCCAAAATGTTCTTTCCCGTCTCATTCCTAGTGCCAAAACCATGTCCGCCATGAATACTCTCAAAGGCATGACGACTCGAGCCCACATGCCCGTTGAGGTCACCTCCTATGATCAACTTCTCTCACCTTGGCACTCGTCGCACCACGTCTTTAAGATCTTCCCAAAACTGTTGAGTTGTAGATGCATCCAATCTCACTTGTGGTGCATAGGCACTTACCACAGACACAATCTCACCCCTTATCACCAATTTAATGTTCATGATGCGATCGTTCTTCCTGAAGACTTCTACCACATCTTCAACATAGTCACGCGCCACAATAATGCCTACCCCATTTCTGGTCTTATCTCTCCCTGAATACCACAACTTAAAACCTCCGGGATTAATCTCGCATGCTTTCTCTCCAACCCATTTAGTTTCTTGCACACACATAATGATGATATTCCTTCTCCTCATGTAGGATCAACAGTTGAGCCTACATACATCTGGTTAAAATTATTGTTGATAATGGGTGAAAAGTTTGGACTAATAAATTATTTTTTGACCAAAGTAGAGGCCATGAAAAGTTTCTTGCACACACATAATGATGATATTCCTTCTCCTCACGTAGGATCAACAGTTGAGCCTACATACATGCGGTTAAAATTATTGTTGATAATGGGTGAAAAGTTTGGACTAATAAATTATTTTTTGGCCAAAGTAGAGGCCATGGAATGTTGATTCCATCAGGATGACCTCTACTATATATGTGTGTGAGAGTCGGAGCAAAATCAAAATCATGTTTGGTGATTTGTTCTTTTTTCTGCAGTGCGTATCCTACGACCACCCGTATTGAGGAATGCTGGCAAAAATGGGATGTCAGACGCGCATTCCTTTTAGTCAATATATGTTGCTTTGTTCTTCACTCTCTCTCTAATGACTTGAACTTTTGGGGGGTTTTCCTGTCAAGTGCCTTTTTTGTATTTCTTATATTTTCTTGTGTAGTGATTTATAGTTGATTGTGAATTTGTGATCAGCAAATTTTCCGTCTGTTGCCGCACAGCACTTGTGGTCTTCACTTACAATCTCCATCCTAATTTGTTTCACCAACTGATGCTGTTTTAGTTGCTTATTGTAGTTCAATCTCCTTTTGGGGAGAATTGAATAGTAATAGGTTAAAGTGTCAAATATGTACATGAACTAACTTAAAGTGTTCAATTAGCCCCTTATATAGGAGGTTCTGCCCGACCGACGTCAATTGGAGCGGTGCCCGGTAAAATTTTTTGATGAATTTTTTTTGAGCATCTTCTTCATAAAGTTTAGTTTATCCATATCAAATTTCAGCTAAAAATTAAATTGGGAAGGCAGTAGAATGATTTTCCTAAATGTACTGCGCTGTTTAACTGCGCAGTTATCTTTAAAAAATCATTTGACTGTCTTCCAGATTGAATATTTAGCTGAAATTTGGTATGAGTAAACTAGACTTAATGAAGAAGATGCTCAAAAAATTTCATCAAAAAATTCCACCGGAAACTTCCTCAATTAGCGATGGCCGTGCAGAACCTCCTATATAAGGGGCTAATTGAACACTTTAAGTTAGTTCATGTACCTATTTGACCTTTTAGCCATAGTAATATTACTATTATAAATTTGTATGACTAAGGATCCAAGATTATAAATATTGATGAACCTCCTATATAAGGGGCTAATTGAACACTTTAAGTTAGTCCATACCCGGTCCCGGACCGCCCGACCGGGCCGGTCCCGGGCCCGCACAGTAACGGGCCGGGTCACGGGCCGGGTGGCCCGAACCGAATCCACCCCTAATTATAAACGCAAAAAACAACCATCACTATTTTCACTTGTATGATGAAGAGTCTGATCTTTTTCAGAATTTCAGCCTTACCAATCTTATAAACCAATCTTTTTATGAAACACATAACTTTTGATTTTATATTTTGATTTATGTAATTATCAAAATAGGTAAGAATTGAGTTATTTTTCTGGTCAATTTATCTTAAACTGTTCAAGAGAGCTATCTCAACTATTTTCTAGGTGACTTTGAATTCAGTCAAAGCAGTTGCTTTATTAAGAATTTAATCAATTTTAGTAAAATTTAAGGGATATCAAATTAAACCAAGCTCATTCACCTATTAATAAGGACATCAATAGTAATTAATATATAATTAGTACTACTTCCATCCAAAATAAACTTTGTCATTTTCAAAACTTTGATCAACTATTTATTTTTAATGGAAATTATTTATAATATAAAAATTATACGACAATGTTCTTTGTTAAAATACTTTTTGAAAATTTATAAAATTTATAGCTTTATACTAATCAAATTCATAGTTCAAATTTTATGAAATGATAAAGTTTTTTTTGGAAAGAAGGTAGTACATAATTAGGCGTCTAAGCTAGGGATGGACTGGGCCGGGCTGAACCGGCCCGGAACCGAACCGGCCTGGTACTGTTTGGGCCCGGACCGGGCCGGGACCGGTTGGCCTGTTCCGGGCTTTTAGCCCGTTTGGGCGGGTCGGGCGGGCCAGGCTTGGGCTCAGTTTTTTTTTCTTCAATTTTTTTCTTTTCCTAGGCTAGGGTTGGGTGTTTTGGGGAGGTTTGGGGTCTGGGGGTGAGGGGGGGGGGGGGGGTGAGGGGATAACAAGAAAGAAAAAAAAAAATAGACATCGAAGCGGGCCCGGTCCGGCCCGACCCGGTTAGGCCCGGACCTGGTATCAACTCGGGCTGGTTCCGGGCCCATGAATTTGCAAAAAAAGCCCGTCTGGGCTCGGCCCGGGTCCATCCCTAGTCTAAGCACTTGGTAGTAGCGTTGTTGGTAGGGATGGACCAAACTGGGCCGGCCCGACCCTGATCTGGCCCGGCCCAGTTAAGGATAGGGAGGTTCGGGCTTTGACCCGGCCCGGGGGAGGGGAGCGGATTATACTCCATTCTTTCTATACAATTTACTACACATCTTCTCCAAATATTCCTACTCTCTAATCTCTATTCTCTACTAATCTTCTCCATCTTCATCTTCTCAAAGATGGCTAAGCAAGTGCTAGCAATGCTCGTATCAACAGTTGCTGTGGAACAAGAGTTTAGTGCGGCCGGCAGCGTACTAATGGATTATAGAACGAGATTGAGCGCAAACTCTCTTGAGACGCTTGTTTGCTTCCACGATTGGTTGAAGGTCAAACGTAGAACTCAAGAAATTAGCATTGAACCCACCCGCCACTTTATGGAAGAAACAACTGAAGATGACAGAAATTCTGATTGATTCTTATTTATTAAAAAGTGTATTTCATGTTGTAATTTTTGCTCAATTTCCAATTGTAAATTTTTTATGTCCAACTAATCTGAATTTAAAAAAAAAATTTAAATAGCCCGGGCTCGGCCCGAACCGGCCCACAATCCGGCCTGGTAGGCTCGACCCGGACCGGACCTGGTATCACCCCGGGCTGGTTCCCGGGCCCATGATTCTACAAAAAAAGCCCACCCGGGCCCGGCCCAGAACCGGAACTGGACCGGCCCGGGTCCATGCCTAGTTGTTGGGTGTTGTATTAGACATTAGTCATGCTTCTTGTACACACTTTTTTGTACATGCACCATATATACATTGGTGAACAAGTTATTTTTTGGCTGTGATTATGTCAATAACTTGTTCAAAGTAGGGGTGGATTTGGGCCGAGCCGGGTCCGGGTCGGGGTCGGGCCTAGGCCCGGGCGGGCCGGTGGGTCTGAATAGGTGGACCCGGGACCAGCCCGGATAGCCACGGGGTCCGATCCGGGCCTCGGGCTTGGACGCTTGGTTATTTTTCTTTGCTTACCTACCTACCCCTGACCCCCCTCACTCCCACCCCCAAACCCCTCCTAAACATGAAGTCCAACCCGGGTGGAGCCCAAATAAATGAAAAAACAAGAAAAAATTAATTTAGCCCGAATCGGGCCTGGGCCTGACCAAGTCAGGCTTTTTTTGGGTGATTCGAGCCCGGACCAAAAACCCCTCGGGTCGGGCCTACTCGGACCGGTCACTGATCGGGCCACCGGTCATTGACCGGGTCACCGATTCGGGTTGGTTCCGGGTTGGGCCACCCGGCTCGAGTCCACCCCTAGTTCAAACACAAAACAATAAATGAAAAGTATCCTAAATGGGAGTAGTCCGATTTTAGAATTTCAAAATAAAGTTGCTATTTTTTCTCTCAAAAATAGGAGCAAATAGTTTTGGAATTTCAAAATAAGATGTCGGTCTTTTTTTGTCGAGGAATTGGGTCAAAGCGAAATTATTTTGCCGCAATTACGTTTGTGTATGTCTTTTTCCCGTCGTTTGGCACGGAAATTTCAATATAAAGTTTGTCTCGGCTACTTCCGAGCCAAATGAGTGTCTCGACCCTTTAAAAATGGTGATGTGCCTAGGTAGGGATGGACTGGGACGGGTTGGCCCGACCCGATCCCGGCTCGGTCCTGACACTGTTTAGGCATGGACCGGCCCGATGGCTATAAGGGCGGGCTTCGGGCTCATTTTTTAGGCCCGACCCAGCCGGGTCCGGATCGGTCCCGGGCCCGATTGCATTGATTTTTATAACTTATTGCCCAGATCCGTTCCGACCCGGTACTGTTTAGGCCAGGTTCGGCCCGGTCACGGTACAAACCCGGGCTGATATCGGGTCTAAAATTTTTAGTCCCGATCTTGTCCAGTCCCGGCCTGGAGTCGAAGCCCACTCGTTATAACCACCGATCCGGGTACCGGACCGGGCTGGGCCTAAACAGTACCGGGCCAGGCCGCTCGGGCCCAGTCCATCCCCAATTGTGCCATAATCCGAGCCAATTTAGTTGAAGGATGTCGTCCGAGTCAAAATTCCAAGCCTAATACGAAGTTTTTTAGTAGTGTAGAGATGATCACGAAAAAACAGAAACTGAATAGTGAATGTATTTTGGTTAAAGTTACCTTATTCCAAAATATTTTGTGGTCAACCGAGCAAAATAAAAATAACATCGGAGCCTTTAAAGTAGGATGCAACTCAATACCTGAAATACTATAAAAAAATACTAAAACGGTTTTCTTTCATATTATTTTAATATACTCCTTCCGTGGCTCCGTCCGAATTTGATTTGCAAAATTTCCTATAATGGTTGTCCCAAAATGATTTTCCACTTTCTATTTTAGGTATGTAAATAAGAATAAAGTGACAAATTTACCCTTACTTTTACTTTTTCCCCCACTAACTTAAAGACATCTACTTTTAAAAAAATGAGCAAAAGTGTAAAAAGCAAGTATCATTTATTGTCATTCCTTAATCCTTGTGCTGGTCAAAGTTTGCAATTCGATTCGGAACTGAGGGAGTATGAGATTATTTAGAACATTGAATTTGATTATTTCATTTTTGAATGCTTGGAAAGTACACATGTGAAAACAAAACAACACATAAATTGAAGAAAAATACGGAGCAATAAATTATCCGGAGTATAATTTAGGAGAACTTGAAAACAGGAATACATGCCAAATATATAAGAAATTCACACCCTCAATATATAAGAAAATTGCCTACGGAAAGATTTGTTCTTGCAAAATTATTTGTATATTTTGGGACTAAGACTTGGATGTTCTTGTTGTATGCAAAATTATTTGAGTTCGGCGGAATACAATAATTGCTTTCTCCAACTATGCTCTATGGAGATTAATCATATAAAAAAAATCCATTTGTACACGTTCTTATACACGTTCTATTAAATGTATAAAAACGTGTATAAGAATGTGTACAAATAGAATAAGTTGTTAATCATATAATGAGTTTGTGGTGTGTCTCCATGGTCACTCACCAGTCACCTCTAAGTCTATTCTTTAACATAAAGATTAGTGAAGCCTTGCTTCCTAAAATTTTACTTACTTTCATGGAGTAACTCATCAACTCAGAAGTCAATTGATGCTGAGTTATTGATTCCCGTAGTTGGAGAAGCAGCTTGATAACAGGTAATGTAAGTCATGCTGATTTTGTCCTTTGTAGGTGACACCAATGAAAATTGATTATGATCAAAGGTAGTTCATAGACTCCAGCACTATGAGATCGAAATTACCAACAACTTAATTATAAAAAAATTAAACATATAATGGAACATATAATAAAAAATACTTCCTCCGTCCTCCAATTAAGTTACCGAATGAATTTCACACATATTAAGGAAATAAATTCAATGGGAGGAGAGTAAATTTTACTATTTTGACGTTGTTTGACACTGTTTGGACACTGTTTTGCACTGTTTGACACTATTTTGATGTAGATAATTTGCCAAATAAGGAAAGTTAGGAAGTGTGTACTTAATTTAGGGACTGTCCAAAAAGGAAAATGATAACTTAATTGCGGGACGGAGGGAGTACAATGCTTCATCTTCAAAAGCATTGGCATATGGAGAAACTTCAATTAGAAAATCAACCTAATGCAGGGCTGACCCTAGGGAGAGGACAGCAAGGGCAATTGTCCTTTGTTTCTTGATATATTATGTCAATAGGCATCCTTTTTATTTATAAATCAATTAATTGTTTGGGCCTAATGTTTAAATTTTGTTGACAAGTTTAAAAAATATACATTTAATTTTAATTTTAAGTAGAGTTGGTTGTAGGTCAATACATTTGCTGATGAATCAATAAAAACATGTGTCTTTACAACTTTTTAGCCTTTAAGGCTTTTTGATCCTTTCATTTACAAAATTACTAATTCCGTCTTTGGTCAGCCTGTGTCTTACAATTCCCAAACCGTATCCCAATTATCTGCGATCGACTATGTCTCAAAAAAAATTAGTTGATTAGCAAGTTTAAACATTGAACATTGATTATGAAGCAATTATTGAGGATTTCGCTTCACAAGTCACAATGTGCCCAAATGTGAAATTTAAATAATAATAATAATAAAGTGAATTTCATCTTTATTTTATACTCCCTTCATCCTTTTTTATTGAGCCAAACTTAACTTTTCAAGTCAATGATGTTAAACTTTAATCGATTATATATTTATGGTAACACCCCGATTTTTTATGAGCTAATTATTTAATAATTAGTTATTATTATTTTAGTCAGCTAAATAAGTTTTTTTTATGAATAATGTGATATTTATTATTTTACATATTTTTAGCAGGTAACGTGGACCAGTAAGCTCATAATAATTTTAATTGAAGAAATAAATACTATTTTAGATTTTATCATTTCATAATTCATAAGTAAAAGGGAGATTTTTATTATTAGTCTCAGAAACATATTTTCTTTTTAAAGATAATTAGAGGCCCGAATCAGTTAACTTGGCCCAGGTAAATGTGTTTAAGGCTGAAATCCCTAGAATATATATATATATATATATACTTTACGCTTATTCATAAGCGCTAAACCCTATCAGCGGCTCTAAATCCTCCATTCTAAATTTTCCTCACCCCCAACGTTTCAATTTTTCCTTTTTGCCAAAGCTTAACCTGGGATTTTGTTTCAGCATCTTTTAATCGGTAAGTCTGGTTCTCTATATTCGTCATTCATTTTTTTATGGTTGAGTAGCAGGGTTGGTCACAGTTAAAGATTAAGTTTCATAGTAATTCCTAATTGATATAATTTTGGGTTTCAATCCTCAGATCAAGTTTATTTAGGAAACCTCTGGTTTGCAACTCTTTATCATAGATTTTCTTACGTAATAAGTTCTTATTGAAACCTCATGCTTTTAAATCTATAAACTTAGGAGTGTAGAAGAAATTCCGATTTTCAATCCAATTGTTCGTATTTTATTAGTCACTTTGATTCCAGATGGTTAGAAGGCGATAAATTCTTTTCTTATGTTTTGTTAATAGAATTTTATATGCCCAACTTGAGTGGGTTTCATATTGATCAATTTAGATTTGTTCATAGCATGAAGTTTTGTCCTAATTGATGGGCAATGGCTTTCTGACGTAAGGAAATATTCATTTAGAGAACACCTATTAACTCAAGGTTTTATGTTCCAGAAGAAAAGTAAGATTAGAGCAGCAATTCAGCCTGAGATTTTTATTTTTCTCTACCTGTTCCTGCGCTTAGTTCCTAGCCAACAGCTTCATTCCTTGAAAGTATTAATTCTACGAATAGTAAAATTCTATCACTAAAGGTTTTAGCGTCAAAATGTTTAAAGAAAACTCGAGGAGGAATTCATATTTTCTCCTACGTGTAGTTCCAAACTAGAGGACTTATTATTTAGGATAAAGATTGAATTGAAATAGGGGAATTTCTAATTTGCGATTTATTCATTTAATTAAAGATCGAAAGAAGAGCTTACCGGGAAACGTTATCAAGGTGCCACATTTATTTGGGTATTTTTGAGTTCAGCTTCTTACAGGTAAGTTCACTACCACCTGTACATGTTTGTTTACCAAATAAAAGACAGAAGTCTGGTTGATTTTTAATAGATGATTTTAGTCTATGTGCTATTATGTGAACCTAGTGAACTATTTGCTGAGCTATTTTATTTGTTGTGTTAAGTTATGTTTATTATCAGACATAGTCAAGATTATGTTAGTACTTTATTTCAAGATTTTGATGATGTTTTTACTCAAACGTCACCATACAAAGAACTAATATTTAAAGTGAAAGATCAGGTGATATGTACTCGGGAACAAGTTCCCTCAGATTATCAGTTTATCAGTTTCAGAGAGTCCGATATGTTTAGCGGGTCGCTCCCCTGAGCTGTCGGATTGGCGCCTTTGAGTACATATCACGGGCCCACAGTTAAAATTAGCCACAAAGAGTTTTACAGTAAAGTTTATGAAATCTCTCAGAAAGTTTTACAGAAAATTGTTTTTGAGATCTCTTTCAGAAAGTTTTACAGAGATTTTTTGAGAAAGAAATTTTGAGATCTCTCTAGTAGTTTTGAGAAATTATTTTAGAAAATATTTTGTTTTGGTATATCTCAGAATTTATTTGAGAATCTATTTGTTAGTCATTTGTTTAGTGCATGCTTATAGCCTAAATTTATCTATTGATAAATTAGCATAGACATTCTTAGATATTTTTGTGGATCCATAATGACTTACTAAGCGTAAAGCTTATCAGTTTTCTCTCTTCGCATGTACAGATACTAAAGGTAAGGCCAAGGCCTAGGAAGATGATGAGAGAGTGGAACGCGTGCCGAAATGAGTTAACGGGAACGACCTTGGCGGCTTCTAGCTAGTTATTATTATTTTTTTTAGTATTTCAGATGTTATTTTAAAGTGATTATTATTACTCTATTTTATTTGAGGATTTGAAGTTTTAGTAAATTCCTGGATCCAGGTGGTTATCACATTTGCTGATGATTACTAGATTTTATTGAGTTTTATTTGGAGTAATATTTTAGTTATATTTGAGATTTTATCAGGGTTATTTCTTAAACAAATGGCCGTTATATTGCAGTTTTTTTAGTAGTAAGTTTATGTAGCGTTTCCTTTAACCCTGAGAGGGGCGTTACATTTATACACAATATTGTTGATCATATAAAAATGATACTCCCTCCGTCCCACAATGAACTTCACAGTTTGACCTACACACATATTAAGGAAATAAACTTACCATGGTTTAAATTTTACTGTTTTGACATTGTTTCAACACTGTTTGGCACTGTTTCGACACTGTTTGACACTGTTTTGCACTGTTTGACATTGTTTTGATGTAGATTAACTTGCCATTTAAGGAAATGAGGACATGTTTATGGGACATTAAAAAACGGAAAGTGAGAAGTTCATTGCGGGACGGAGGGAGTATTAAAATGTTCTGATTTAAAAATATGATTATAGAAGTATAAATTTATAATAGTTTTTTAATAAAAATATTTTCATGTTATTTTTATATAAACGTTTTTGTATATAAATATGGAGTATATAATTGATCAAATTAAAGTTGACTTAGAAAAGTCAAAAGTTGGTAAATGAAAAGGAATGGAGGGACTTTGTAGTACTCCGTATGAGCAAAAAGATTTATTATAAGTTGATAAAATAACTCAAACAAAAATATAGAGATGATTGAAATTGTCCGATAGGAGAGATATAGAGATGAAAAAGAAAGATGAGATTTAATTAAGAAAGTAAATAAAGAAAAGGAAATAGCGGTCATAAAAGTTGGAAACTGAAAAGACTTAATAATTAAGTTTGGCTGACGACGTTCTCGGGGAAATTGAGTTTGGCTTTGGTGCCTCGGAACGTGAGGGCAGCTTGGTCATAGGCTCGGGCAGCATCCTCGGCGGTGTCGAAGGTGCCCAGCCACACTCTGGCGGCTCTGTGGGGATCTCTGATTTCGGCAGCCCATTTCCCCCACGGCCTCTGTCTCACTCCTCTGTATCTTCTTGATGTCTCAATAATATCCCCACCTAATTGTGTGTTCTGATAAACAAAGGACGCAGCCATGCCCATTGTTGATCTTATCACCCTCCATTCTCCTCCTGTTCATATATATATGCGGAGTATATATATGTATTACATGCAATATAATGGCTTAGTGAGAACTCAGAAGGTATATCTAGCAGCTGGTTCAATAATCAGTGGCGGATCCACAAAAAAATGTTATTCGTTTAAAAGGTTTGGTAAAAATATTTTTCAAATATATATCAAACTTAAAATCAATCTCATAGTCAAAAGTTTTTAAATTTCAAATATTAAGCTATATATATATATTTGCATTTGTTTTAATAACAACAATTATTTATTTATGACCAAAATAAAGATATTTTACAAAAAAAATTGATCTTTAAGTGTGTATTGATTATGTACACTTAAGATGTCACATTTTTGTAAAGTACGTATCTTTATTTTAGTCATAAATATGTGATTGCTTTTTAAATAAATGCATATATATACTTCAAATTTTGAGCTTAATATTTATAAAATACCAAGTACTGTATAATTTTGGTCATAGTAATATACTACTACCTCCGTCCCCCTAAATTTGGGACAAATGAGAGTGATGCGGTTTTTAGGAAAAGTAGAGTTATGGGGTATAGTCGGTAATGAATTGATAGAATGAGAATAAAGTAAGAAAGAATTAGAGACACACCAATATTATCAAATATGGTATATTCTTTTTTAGGCTTATTTGCTCAAGTAACATGACACTATACTCATAGTTACAAGGTGTTTAGGAATGAATGGTACTCTTGAATATTATTTTTCAACTAAAGGTACTTGAAAAGAAATACCTTCATTTGGGAAATATGCTTATAAATACCCTTAGATGGAAAATAAAATCAAGAATACATACTCTCTTGAAAAAAATCTCATAGTAACATTATTCATATTTTTATAAAATATCCAAAAGTAAATGCTAAAGAAGAGGAATGATCACACAAGACTAACAAAAACCGGCCCAATAAAACATGAACGATTCTTTATTTTCCTAGATGCTTTTGAATGATCGAGATAGTGGGACTGGGAGTGTTCTTTTATTTCTTCGTAATACGAAGAGTTGGGGGCACTCCTAATTATAATTGGGACACTTTCACTTTTTATATTAAAATATAATTTGGTAACACTAAAAATTCACATTTTATTGGGGGCATGTGCCCCCATTCATCATCAATATGTACATCCGCCCTTGTCAATAATACACATTATTATTCTAAATTAATTTCACCGACATTCAAAGTACTTTTAGAACTCCATCTTTACTCCCTCGTCCCATAAAATTTTCTCCTTTTGACTTGATCAAAGTTTATGAAAGTGAGTATAAAGTAAAAATGTATGATTGTTGTTGAGTAACAAAGTAAATGAGTTTGTAGCCACACAAAAATTTTCAAAAGGAAAATGAGAATTTTTTTTAGACGACCCAAGAGGTAAAAGAGAAGAGATTTAAAGGACACAAGAAGTATAATGCACGAGATTAGAGACCCGCACGAGTAACTCAACTAGTAAAACGATGAAAATGTTGGACAATCATTGATTGAAACCCGCAACAGTCGTGTGGAAGTCACAACTACTGTGTGCTCGACTAGCCCTTTAAGGCACACAAGTACTCCGTATAAGATCTACCACCGTTATGATTGATTGATCATTGTGATTCACATTCTCCCAAATGCTCTCTCGAGTCAGGGCATGAGACGCCATTGGGGTTGATGATTCAGACAATACAAGAAATTAGGGATAGATTAAGTGTTCAATTTTGTTCACTCTCTTCAAAGATGGTGATGACCAACCCATCAACCCCTCTTTAGCACTCCAATCTTTATCTTTTTTTTTTTTTAAATTGTTATAATTTTTATTTACGATTTAATTTTCATTAAAAAAATATGATCTTTTCAATGATACTAATATTGCATATAAAAAATTTGAAAAATATTTATTTCTAAGTATCCATGTTTAGCTTGTTTTTTTTTAATTTAAAAGAATGTGCAATATTGGTACCATATGAAAGATCATAAACAGTTAAAAATACTAATATACTTTTATAGATGAAGGGGAGCGGGGTGACTGCCTTGAAACTTCAAAACTTCAATTTTTTTTATGGTATACTCCCCTCTTTCCAAAAAAAGTGTTTAAATGATCATGTTTAACTAATGATATTTTTAATAAAAAATATTTAAAATATAAAAATTATATCAAAATTTAAAATTTCATTAGTAAAACTATAAAATTTAAATCACACTTAAACATAATAACTAAAGTCATCGGTTAAATTGTACCATCATTGATCAAGAAAAATTAATATAGCCAACATTTTTAGAACGCATCTAATATGCAATAATTTGGTAATTTTTTTATACTTGAGTTAGATATATACGTGTTTGACCCCATTAACTTTTATTTTTCAGAATTTATAGTGTTATCCTCCTTCCATGCTTTTTTATTTAGTCAATTTTGTTTTTCAAGTCAATGATGTTAAGCTTTTTGGCCGATTATATACTGATACATGCTAGTATTGATAATATGAAAATATTCTTTGTTAAAAATACTATCATAAAAGTATGTATTTATTAAGTTTCACATAAATATATTAGTTAAAATTAGTTGAACTAATGGATCAAAGTTTATCTTTTTTATTAGAAAAGTCAAAGATGGCTAAATAAAAAAGAATGAAGGTGTATAGTATAATATATGAAATAATATTCAGTAGGAGCTGAGTGGTCAATGGAGAAAAAATCTAACATGACTTATCTCGATGGTCTATTTTATTTATGTTTAATTTGTTTTGCTCCCTAAACACCAAGAAATAAAATTACATAAATATGACTAAAATAAAGACGATTTACAAAAATATGACTAATGATTAGACTAGTAATGTAATCATAGTAATTTACATTCAAGTTTTGAGCTTAAGTTACCACAACATCACATTGTAGTAATGAATAGTCATATTTATGTACATATGACTTATTTTAGTAATATTCTTGTAAAAAACCCTCACAGGAGCATTTATGTTTTGATTTCACTTTCATTATATGAAAACTATTTAACTAGTATGTCTTTATGCTACATTAATATTGTGAGTTTTTTACAAGAATATTACTAAAATAAGTCATATGTACGTAAATATGAATGCTCGTGTGAGGTTAAAATCACATAATTCATTTAGTTTTGATTTCTTTAAAAAGAAATCATTCAATACGTGATAAACTTTAAATGGTTGTAGCATTACACTTCAACTAATTAATAGGCATATTTAATAGGCATCAACTTTATGGATTGACAACATAATACTAGGTATTATTTAAAAATTCAATAATTCCATATTACACACTATTGTAAAACATACTACGTAAAAGATTTCTCGTAACTTACAACCACTCATGTTAAACAAAATGTGTAACCCAAAAATAGATCTTCATCATTCTAATAAGCGTCATGGAGTAAAAAAGGACAAAATTCATTGAAAAATATAGGTGAATAATACTCTTGATCTTCCAATATATTGATAAAATTTAAACTATTTTTTATAATAAAACAAAGTGAAAAGTACGGAAAATGTATATATGATTTGGGCCATTTTCGGATAGGGATACATGATCATTTTTTAAAGTAGGACATGTGTTTCAATTCCGTTATCACAGCAAGGGGCATGATGCCTAATGACGTTAGAAATCACCTGAGGAAATTGATGAACAATAACTTCGATTTACCAATACATTTTTCCTGAATACTCTAATTATAAAATCTAAATTGTTTTATCATTGTGTAAATTTAGAGTGGGTAAATGAGGTGTATATGCTAATGACAATATATTTTTTGAATATAAAAGTAGATGAGAAGTGTTAAGCGGCGGAGAAGGAATATAATGCAGACCTGAATATCCTGGAGAAGAAGACGATGAAGGCGCAGATTGCGTTTCCACCCCGGCGGCGGCGGCATCCCACAACCACCGCGGGGTTGGAGGTGGAGGGCCGCCGGTGACGACGTCGGTCAGAGCGGAAACGATCACAGACATCTCTCGCTCTCTGTCAGGCCCAGAAAACATCGGCGATTCCAGCGACGTCGACATGCTAATTAATCAATCGTGCACCCCAAAGCCAACTAATTATGGTATTTATTAAAATACATATACATATCATGCATGTGAATACCAACTTTCTATATGCCGGCAGCCGGCCTATATTTAAGAGCATGTGTTCAAAGTACATAGTTGATTTTTTTGAAAGGAAGTACGTAGTTGATAGACAATATTTAAGAGCATGTGTTAAATAGTTTCGTTTTACTCGCTTAATTAGAATGCCAATTTTTAATTACTCCGTATATTCTAATTTGTTGTTCACACCTTTGAAAAGATTTTAATCTAGTTTCTGAATATGTAAATTTTATTTATTGAAAATTGAATTAATTATTGATAGAGACGATTGACTTTTATTATTGGTTGACCAAAAAATGTTGACTTTGCAAAACAATTTGCGACTGAAGGAGTATGAAGTATAAAAATTGCTTTAAATATGACTAAAATTTGAATAAAGTGCACAAATAGGACTATATGTGTTTTATTTATACAATAAGCCTTATCTGATTGTATTAATTGTATAAAATTTCCACTCTTAGGAGTGAATAGGTCTTATTGTATGAATACAATAATGATGATCCTATATGTGCATTTTATCCATATTTTAGTCTTATATGAGGAACTTTCAAAACCATAGCTACTTGTATTCTTAAATAATAAATGAAACATGTTGAATTTTACACAATTCACATGTTCTATTTTGACTTCATTTTATTTATTACTCCCTCCGTCCCGGTCATTTCTTCCAACTTTCCTTTTTGGGTCGTCCCAATTAATTCTTCCAACTTTCACTTTTGTAAAAAATATGTGGTTCACATTTATTCACCTTTTTCTTACACAACTACAACAATACATTTTCACTTTATTCCCACTACCTAAATTTGCGATATCGGTCAAAACCGGAAGAAATGACCGGGATGGAGGGAGTAATTTATTAATAAAATATTTTTATAAAAATAATCTAAATTTGTCTCACTGTAAAATTTTAAAATTTGATTTTTTAATTCTTTACTAGTAGAGAATTATATACTACGTACTAGATGTATATTAATGGTCAAACTTTTTTTGTTAATGGTCAAAGTTATTCATGGACAAATGTTAAAAGTAGAACCGCAAATTATAACGTGGTATCGATCCACCATGCGTACCGATACATCCCACTATCAGCTATTGAAAGACACTTTCTTAGTTTCTTTTCTTTTCCCTGGAGCATCAATCTCATTTTGCCTTTGCTTCTTCTTTTTTATTTTTCTTTTCTTCAATTCTTTTCTTCTTCTCCATCAAATTCTAAAATTTAATTCTAATTTTACTTTTCTTTAACTTCAACTTAACATATAACTCAATTTTTTTTATTCAATTCATAACCAATTTTTTTTTAATTTAAATAAAACAATTCTATTACATTTCATATCATATTCATCCAATGTTTTTATTTTTGTAATCTTTTTTATATTCATACATTTTTTTGTAATATCTTTTTTATATTCATACAATTTCTTTTGTATAATACTACGTATATATTTTATCTCTTTTATATGTTTTTAGTGTTTTTAAGACATTGAGTTTGTTTATTTCCATTAAAATTTGATAAAACAAATAATCACATACATTTTCATGTGTCCAATTTACATATTTCATATGTGCTAATCACAAATGTGGTTTTCTCCTACCCTAGTTCGCGAGAGCTGAGGGGTTAGTCAATTCGCCACCAACAATCAAAACTATGTGAATTGTGAAGCTATGGTGATCGGAGTAACAATCAAAACTTCCTGCCTTATGTTAGGAAGATGGTATGGATGTTTACAGCACCAAATTAAAGAATTGCCAATAACTCTGAAATCCATAAAGTACTCACTAGAAAATTCTTGTAGGTAGTTTTGGGGGTCAACACGAATTAGGCTGCTTGCAAGAAACTGTGAAGTGTCAATTAAAGATGAAGGAAAGCTGCATACACAAGAGTTAGTAAGGTTATTATTGTTAAGTCTCCTGGAACGTTCACATGAAAACAATCACAGTTCTGCACTTCGTATAATGTATACCACCAAATTGTGAACTTCCACAAACTTGCCTGGTTCACCTAATGAGCTTGGTATATCACCATCCAACTTGTTGTTGGAGAGATCAAGCGTCTGAAGGTTTTCTAACTTCCCAATCTCAGCCGGAATATTCCCACAAATGGCATTGTTTTGTAGCAACCTACATTAATATGGCGTGACCCCCATTATTGTTAGCATTCTTATACTGCTATTCTCATTGTTGGTTTGAACAACAATCTCAGAACTGTTATGGTAAAATGGCATATAACTAAAGTTTACAAAATTAAGCTAAGATTTAAGAAGTGGAAAGGTATAAACAAGCTCAAGTACTTGCCCAGACTCTAACTTAGTTAAGTTTCCAATTCCAGGAGATAAGGACCCAGTTAAATTTCAGTTCCTGCCTTAATCAAAACAATCCTCTAAGACAGGTAAGTGGTTCACAAAACTCTTCTAGTCTAATCTTGACCCCAAGCTTGTTATATGATATGGATGTTTTATTGTTTTTTTTCTAATTTCTTCTAGAGCAACTATATGAGCTTTTTCACTCCTAACAAATTGAGTGATACAAGGGAGGTTCAAATTCCTGGTGTTAGTGAGAAGTCATCTATAATCAATAACAAGAATGATGCTTAAGGCAGGTATATAAATTGATGCTAGTGGTTTTTTTTATGGAGTGTACTAAAACAAGTACATAATAATACTTCTTAATTTTCTTAATTGATTTTTTAATAAATGTATTCAAATCATTCTTGTGCGGTATACATGTGTAGTAATTGTAAATTTTTAATATTTTAGGTTTATCCGGGCACCAAAAGAGATGAGCTTTTTTCAAGTGATGAAGAATTCGAAGTTCAGGATGCGTTGGTCATATAAGCGTGTGATGATTTATTGTAAACTTTTAGTGCTGATAAACTTACAAAAGGCAATAACTTGTATTGCATTCATTGTGGATTTTAGTGATGTATAACTTAATTTGTTTTGGAATTATGGTTTTGATCGATCGATGAGATACCTAGATTGTCAAATTGATTTGTTTCTTATTTTGTAAATAAGATATATTGTAGCAAAAGTCAGATTTATAATTTTGGTAGTTTCGAAAAACAAAAATAATGCATCAAATAACAATGTTTTAGAGAGTTTTTGCTGCGAAATTATTAGTTATTTGCTGCGGTTCTGAACCGCAACAATAAGTCAAACCCTGTTTTTTACTGCTACCAATTTGCTGCGGTTCTAAACCGCAGCAAATACGTTTTTCTATTATTTGCTGCTCTGCCAATTGCTGCGGTTCGGAACCGCAACAAATAGGTAAAAATGACCGCAACAAATAGCTATTATTCTAGTAGTGATGCCATGAAAAACCACATATTATTGCATGTGAGTCAAAGTGGATATTATATCAAACATAAGCTTTGTTTTTTTAAGCGAAAATTTATTAAATTTTTATTAAGAAGAGTACAAAATGATGATGATGGAAACAAAAACGCTAATAAGTGAACTATCCCAAAGGCCCTACAAATCCCAAAAGTGAAAACGATTAGCTCCCCGTCGAATTGTATTGAGTTGCCCGAAAGATATGAAATCCCCAAAATATCCAAAAGCTAAATCTGTAAAGATAGAAGCAACCCTGTGTTCCATCCAAATTTTTAGCCTTGAGATGAGCACTCCATTGAGGTAATCTAGAACTAGGGGTGGACTCGGGCCGGGTGGCCCGACCCGGGACCGGTACTGTTCCGGCCCGACCCGACCCGGTGGCCCGGTCAGTGACCGGTCCGGGTAGGCCCGACCCGTGGGTTCTCCGGTCCGGGCTCGGGTAACCCAAAACAAGGCCTCGGGCCCGGTTCGGGCCAAAATTGATTTTTGTTTTCATTTTTTTTCAATTTTCGGGTTGGGCTGGGTATTTTGGGCCATTTGGGGTGGTTTAGGGGGTTGGGGGTGGGAGGGGGTTAATTAGGAAGAGGGGGAAAAATTTGATAATAGGCCCGGTCCGGACCCGAATCGGACCCGGTGGGTACCCGGTCTGGTCCCGGGCCCATCTATTCAGAACCGGCGGCCCGACCGGGCCTAGGTCCGGCCCGGGTCCAAGTCTATCTAGAACTGGTTGAGTCCCATTCAATGTCAGCAACGCGGTCTAGTAGCTCACGATAAAAAAGTATCCTTTGAATAGACGTAATTTCACAGAGAGAAGATTAATGGTGAATGCCATGTAGATCCATAAAAGCATGTACAAAGACGAGTATTTTTGAATTCAGAACCACCATCAAATTGAAAAACTTCGAGAGAAGTCGAGAATCGATTGCAAACAAAGGTGTGAGACCTTTCAGAAGTGTCAAATAATTCTGATTTTGCATGTAGACGATACAACAAAGAAAACATTTAAAAATCATCACGCATCATATGAAGCACGGATACTTCCCTAGGGTAGCGTATCGGCGTATCGGATACATTCCCGTATCCGATACTCTAGGATACCCGTACCGTACGTTCCCGGGCCGTATCTGTAATTTTTAAAAGTTTCCATTTTTTTTTGTAATTTTTTGAAAGTTTCCGATACTCGTATCCCGACGGATACCCGTATCAACTTTTTTGAATAAAAAAAACCCAAAATTTGAGGATCCTGAATCTATTGCAAGCAGATATTACATGGAACCTAAGAAGTGGTGGGCATGCTTTGGTTCTAATGCACCTTTTCTTCAAAAATTAGCTTTCAAAATACTAGGACAACCTACTTCATCATCATGCTCAGAAAGGAATTGAAGTTCTTATTCTTTTATTAATACATTTAGAAGAAACAAACTGCTTCCAAATGAATTTTTAAAAGTTTCCATTTTTTTTTGTAATTTTTTGAAAGTTTCCGATACTCGTATCCTGACGGATACCCGTATCAACTTTTTTGAATAAAAAAAACCCAAAATTTGAGGATCCTGAATCTATTGCAAGCAGATATTACATGGAACCTAAGAAGTGGTGGGCATGCTTTGGTTCTAATGCACCTTTTCTTCAAAAATTAGCTTTCAAAATACTAGGACAGCATACTTCATCATCATGCTCAGAAAGGAATTGGAGTTCTTATTCTTTTATTAATTCATTTAGAAGAAACAAACTGCTTCCAAAGCGAGCGGAGGATTTGATATTTGTTCATAACAATCTTCGTGTTTTATCACTAGGTTCTAAGCAGTATATGTTTTTAAAATATTGTTTTCTATCTTAATTATTCTAGAACTTTGGTACTTGCACTTTTAATTTCAAGATTGTAGTTGTTTGACTTATTTCTCATTTTAAATTAATGACTTATCGACTACATGTCTACATTTATATTTCGAGATGCACTAGTGTATATGAGAAATATTATGATGTATATGTAATGAATGGGTATATATGTATATATAGGATATATATATCCAAAAAATTATTATTTTTGTATATTTCATAGGATATTATATGTATATATTTCCAAAAAAAATATTTTTAATATTTATAAATACATCCCTGTAACTTTTAATATTTGTAAATACACTCCCATAACTTTTAATATTTATAAATATGGCCCCGTATCCGTATCCTACTTTTTTTTGTTTTGCCGTATCCCCATACCCGTGTCCACGTTTCCGCGATTCCGCGTACCGGTATCGGTGCTACATAGCACGCATCAATAAACCTCAGCAGTACTAATAGGTGCAAGTCGCCATAAATCACAATGGACAAGATTGTTTAATTTAGAAGCACGTTTCACATTCAAAGTAAGAGGAATCCAATTACTTTTAGCTAACTGAGAGGATGTGCAATGGTTGGAATTCGGTAAAGCTGAAGTTCCTGACAAGTGCCCTAGCTTTTGTAAAAAAGAAATTAAACGAAATAGGACATGCCCAAAATGTAAATGCCATAAATTAAATGATATTGCAACATCTTCTAATTAACTCTATTCTAATGAAAAAGCGGTCCAGCTCAATGGAGGAAGTTTCAGCTCTATTTACCCTAGGCTCTCCCTAGTCCCCCTCTCCCCAACCTCTCGAGGGTTAAAAAAGACTCTGTTCCGATTTGTTGCTACTATTAAGATCAGGGCCGGCCATGCAGGCATTTACCCTAGACACTAGTCTAGGGCCCCCAAATTTTAGGGGCCTCCAAAATTTAAAACATGACCATTAATATTATATATGAATCCTTAATGTAAACTGTGATTAAATTCAATTCCCAAACCAATGGTCATGAAAACATCAATCGTCGGGTAATCTTGATGGAGCAGACGACAATTATTATGAATGATGAAACGGTTAGCAACACAAGAGGGGGGGGGGGGGGGGGGGGTGAATTGTGTGTGTGGAACCGTGGCAGTTTTTTTTTTGCACAGTTCTAGTGTGGGGTTCAGGGAAATGTGAAATAGTAAAGTGCACAAGGATTTAACGAGGAAAAATCCCTTGGCTCAAAGGGATTAAAAAACCTCGACCTCCTTCGGAGGAATTTTCAACAACTTCACTAAAAAGCCTTTTGTGGTTACAAGGTAAATTCTCCTAATCTACCCTTGAGCCACCCCAACTCTATCCTCTCTAGGAAGACTTATGCATCTCTACCTTGCGGGTAGAGAGTCTCTCAGCTTTACAACAAAGCTCTCACACACACGACCCCAACCCGAGGAAGCTACACTTTAGCTTTTCCTCAAAATCTAGTTACAAGATAAAGAAGGGAGAAGAAACTATATCTAGAACTTCGTGAGCAGGTCCAGGTGCCTTGGTCTTGATAATTCTTAATAAGTATTTCTCTCTGTAATTGCTCGGTCAAGCACACCTCTTGTTCTTGATTCCTCGAATATATATATGGGCTAGAAGATGTCCATTGATCCTTCTTTCCTTTTGAAGCTTGGTAGACTTGCCTTGATAATTTTGAATTTCTTTCCTTCCAGTTGCTTCACTTTATTCGTTCAATCATGAATGATTTTACGAGTCATCATATAAGGAAGCAATATTGATTTACTTAACATGTAGACATGCAACAGTCATTAAGTAGCAATAAAATATTCATGCGATCAAGCCACAAAAATATTTCTTTTTAGGAAAGCTTCGGTCAACCTTTATTAATATGGCAATCAAATTAAGATGGCAAGATAGCGTAATATCATATATATAAGCATGCAACGTCCAAATATTACTTAACAAGTCACACTACTAAAGTATCCTTACCAAAAGAGTTTCCAGTTGACCTTTTTGGCTAAATGTCACGGTCAATTACAATTATAGTGGCAAAGTATTTATTTAGGTGACACATACATAGGTCAAGTCATTAAACTAAATGCTTAGTCATCTATTAAGAAATGTGCCACGTGTGTAATAATCTAGTGTCATAGATGAGGAATAGGCATGCAGGCATACATCAATCAATTCTTTTATCAAGCATGATAATTATTTATTGTTGGAGATATTTTATTGTGAATCAAGTTGGTCATAGATTAGCTTTATATTTAATCCTTGTATTTAAATAGTGC